ATGGGAAGAGACCCAAAATACGTTTGCTTTAGATGACTTATGAAATATTCAAGATACAAGTAAAACTTTATATATATGTATATTTATTTATTTTTTGTTTCATACAAATTATCTTTTGAATGTCAAATCACTATTATCTAAAAATGAAATTGTTATTTTTGTCATAATGAGGAGCAATTGTCTGTTGCAGGAGTAAATGTTTCAGATTAGGAAATTAAATTATTTCTGTCCCTCTGCACATGATCTGAGACCTTGCAGCTTTCTCCTCTCCTTGGCCACCCCAGGAGACCTGGTCCCCAAGCTCAGCCCCAGCACCATGAGGAGCCCTGTGCTCAGGGGAGGAGGAAGAGGGGCAGCTGGACTGGGCTAAAGAGTCTGACTGGGGGAAGAGAAAGTTGAACACTGCAAAATGGACTAGTAGCCTCTCCAGAAAGACACTCAGGGAAAGATATTACCAGAAACTTATCCCACTTGTTGGAAATGAATTCCCCTAAATATAACCAATTACTCATTCTTCAAGTATGCCCATAAATTGTTAATGTTGTCTGTATGAGATATACATTGAAGGAAGTGCCCTGCTGCTCAGAGAGGAGGACAGTTCAAGCAAAAATGAGGGAAACATCCCAAGTTTCCTTGTGGGACAAACAGGATAGATCTCACCACGAGAACATGAGAGTCCCCATAGACAGGCACAGCAGTGTGGTGAGCATGGATTAGTTAGTGGAGCTCCAGGACCAGGTCCATCGGGAGCAGAACTCTGAAGCTGCAGACAACAGGGGAGACAGAGGAGAGGACAGAGGAGCCCTGTGCAGCTTCCTCCTCCATCACCTGCCAGACCCCACTCAGGGAGCCCAGACCTTCAGGCTCAATTCACTTTCTCTCTCTCCTTGGTGTTCTTTGCATGACATGTCTCCTGATGGGGTTTTTGGGACATCTGGGTAAATCCATGAGGGACAGCAAGAATCGCACAGTGGACTCACACATTGATGCAGGGAGAAGGCCACAAACTTGGGGAGACTCAGAGATGGCTCTGTGTCCATGCCTGAGCTGGGTCCTGAGGTCCAAAGGGGAAGGATCAGCATCTGAAGCCCATCAGGACATCACTGTGCCCTTCTTGGGGACAAGGTATCTGAAGAACTCAGATGTCCCTCGTGGAAATAAACCAGTTCACCAGATACCTGATTTCCAGACAACCATGTGATCAGACATCACATCACCAGCATCAGAAGGGAATGCTTTTGCCTGCCCATCTGTCCCTTCTGGGAATCCATTATATAGGTGGAGCTTCTGAGAATCCTGAGTGGACACACAGCCTCTGGACTCTGTCCTCTGCTGCATTCTTCTGCTACCAATCCTAGTGGTATCTGCAGCACAGGGTCCTGATTTCTAGGCATGGGCATATGCTGCAAGTGAATCCCTGGGCTCAGCCAGGGTGTGGGGACTCATAGACTCCATCTCTTGCGGGTATGCTGGATGCTACACTGACCAGACCCATCTCCAGGATGCACAATTAGAGTTGCACTAGGATTACGCTTGGCCTCCTCATAACGCATGAGGGAAAGAACTGGAGATCCTTCCGTGGGATTGAGTATTTTTTTTTTTTTCTGTAGCAAGGTGACTGTCAGTCAGAGGGGTGCAGTTCTTATTTATTTTTGGTGCATTGAAATGCTTTCCAGTAAGATGCAGCAAGGACCCTCATGATTCTTTGCTACTGAGTTCCACAGAAAATGCTTTACGCATTACCTAAGGTATCACGAATTCATATGTGAGTGGAGAGGATACACTGTTGGTTTTTCCCAATATGTCTGATGCTAAGACAGAGGGAAAATTCAGTAGCAGGTTCTGTGCTTACCTGTGAGTTTAATGTACAGCATTGTTCTCTACCATGCAGGAAGCTGAGAGCTGTAGGTGTCCTCACAGAAATGCACCTTGCTACAGAAAAAATGCATCACTAAAACTACAATGTATTTCAATAGGGTACAGATTACACTACCTAGTGTAAATATCTACTGTGAGGTAGAAAAATATGCATGGAACTTTGAGTCGAAAATAAATGTATCTTAACATAAACCCATGAAGACACATTATTATGAGTACATTTCACATGCACAAGGATAAATACAATGAGTGTCTAATAGTCCATAAAATTCATGAAAACTTCTGTGTCTTAGGCAATATTTGCCCAATTGAATGAGATGACAGCATTTATCAGAGTGCCTTAAAACCCTGGAATATATGAATGATGGTAAGAACAAATACAGAATGGAGAATGACAATTGATTTGAAGCAGGACCCTAAAACGCATGTGTACATATGCCCATAGAATATGAACTGATGTTTTGTGTTATGCACATAACTCCTATGCTCATTTGTTGTATGTGCCTCACACCCATTATCCCTGGGACCTGTGTTCTAGTTTTCATATCTGCAAAGTCATCCTTCATCCTGCAAAGTCATCTTAAACATACACAACTCCATTAGCGGGAAAACAAGGACAGATATACATGTAGAGGCTTACACGTACCTAGAATTTCTCCTAAACAGTTGATGAGAAATGATTATATTACATGTGATGAAATTAACAGCTACTTTGAAGAAAAACATATTATGATATCCATTGCTTATTCCATATCATCATGCTGTGAAATCTAGTAATGCTTCTATTCTTTGTTCAGAGTGGTTTTAGTCTGTTTAGTATTATTTAATTTCAACATACATGAAGGTATGGACAGCTATTTTGAAGAGAACAGAGACTTTATGTCAGCCATTGTTAATTTTCATATTGTCTGGATTTGAAGGCCTGTAATGCCTTTTTTCTCCGTTCTGATCAGTTTTATACTATGTTGTTTTGTATGAATTCATTGTGTGTAAAGATATAGACAACCATTTAGAAGAAAACAAGAGACATGGAAGCCACTGTAGATCCCCTATTGTCTTGCTTTGAATTCTGTGTCACTTACATTGCTTTCTTCTGATCTGCTTTGTTCTGTTTCATTAGGTTTAGTTTTACCCTTTAAAAAAAAACCCAACGGAACAAAAACATACACAACTCCCTGACTAGCTCTTCCATTGTATATTCTGTATGGAGTAGGAGGATTGGGCCTAGAGCAATAGACCCCAGGGACCTGGGACTTTTTTGAGGGCTCAGTCCACTCTTTCACTTAGTGGCAGTTTCAAAAAATGTGTGCATCCTCTGTTTCCTTGTGACCTTCATGTACAAGATAACTCCCCACATGCAAATACTTCAGGAGCTAACGGATAAACTCATATTTCATTCTGGCTTAATTTCTTGTGTATCTCAATGTTTAAGATGTTCTCAGAGATTTGTAAACCTGGTCTTCAAGAAACTAGAACAATGTAGGTTCCTTCTCTTTTGGTGCTGGCTCCCAGGTGTTGTGGAAATGCTGCATCTGATCTCAGGACTCACTGTGTTCTCTACCATCCTGTCTCAACTACTGCTGCAAGAGACCTGATCTGGTTCAGCAAAGGACTCACAGTCAGTCTTCATCTGACTTGCCATTCTCTGGTTTCTTTCACTCTGCTATGCTGTCTCTGGAGCTGGATACTTCAACCACCATGAAGGAAACTGAGTGAATGTGTCAGGATGATTAAGAGCGGAAGCACAACTTGTAATTCATCCCTGAAAGTCAGTATATTTAAAGACAGCCAAGAACCAGTTCTCTGAGCAACTGTCCTCAGTATCCATGGAAAACACCATGCAGTATTGTGTAAGACAGTTTCTAAGCCGAGGCAACTGGTAACCCAGACACAAAGCTATGTACAGAGTATCGCGGACAAGTAGGGGGCGCTCAGAACAAAGAAGAGGGGAGTGTTTGAGAGCAGGAGAGGACTCATAGGAGCGTTAGGGAATGCTCTGACTAGTGAAAAAACGGGATCTGCAGAGAACCGGAGTGGCCCCAGAGGAGGTACATAGAAGGAAGCTAAGGACTGAGGCCTTCCAGAGGTGCAGAGAAGGAAGCTAAGGACTGAGGGCTTCCTTTTAGTGAATGAATGTCTCCTCTGTGTGAGCATCACACACACTGTGGAGAATGAATGTTGCATCCTTGCTACCTCACATATGAATTCTTCAGAGCCCAAGCAATGACAGGGACTTGGTGGTGACAGATTACATTTACACCTACACTGTTGTCATTTCCTTCACCTGAATTCCTGTGTACAGCAATAAGAACGTGCATATACTGAAAAGAAGACCAAGAATCTTAAGAATTTAGTTGCTGTGGAATATACGATAGTCATCACCATCATCATCATGGAAAATTAGAGTGCTAATTTTATCACTAAGAGAATAAGACAGGCTCATGCAGTAATAAATGTTTCAGGTGAGGAAGAATCTAAAATAAAGAAGGAGACTTAGGAAACACAACAGGAGAATTTAGGAGTACTGCTCCATAGCATATCTTGACAATGGGCATAAACTGTAAGTATTATCATGTTGGTAGTATGTGTCAAAATACATCTCATTTATCCATCATTAAATTTAATACATATATTTGTAAAAGTTACCTTACAGTGGAAAGCTTAATGCAGAGGTAAAAATATGAGACACCAGATTCTTGAACATATGCTTGACAAAGATACTGCTTATCTATTCTTTTATGAGTCTAATGCAACACAGAAAATCCTGTCAGGTTCTCTGAGTAGAAGACCTTTGAAAAACATCATGAAGCATGGCCACTCTGTCTTGGAACTGCTCCACCATCAGTTGAGAACTGAAGTTTTATAAAAGATTGCTCACATCTCTTAGGTCATTATACTCCTCATTCTATGTACATACCTGCAAACATAGTAAATCATCAAATCCCTTAATTACATATATGTAAGAATTAAAAAAAATGATGTTATGTGTTTATCATTACACAGACATAGGAATAAACCAAATGGTCTATATATTAGGGATATCCCAAACACTTTTCACAGTACTCTTCCCTTTCTGAGGCTTCCTCAATAGAACTGGCTATATAGGAGGAGGACATGCAAATAGGGCCTCCCTGTGCTGATGAAAGCCAGCCCAGCCCTCACCGTGCAGCTCTGCAGAGGAGTGCAGCCCTCTGATGATCAGGCCTGAGCACAGGCGGCTCACCATGGAGTTTGCAATGATCTGGATTTTCCTCCTTTTCATTTTAAAAGGTAATTGATGAAAAACAAGTGATAGTGAGTGTGTTAATAGACATGAGTATGATAAATAGAGGACATTTTGTAATATTTTTCTGAACAAAGTATCCTTGTGTTTGCAGGTGTCTTGTGTGAGGAGCAGCTGGTAGAGTCCGGGGGAGGCTTGGTGCAGCCCGGGGGGTCCCTGAGACTCTCGTGCGTGGCCTCGGGATTCACCTTCAGTGATTACTACATGAGCTGGATCCGCCAGTCTCCAGGGAAGGGGCTGGAGTGGATTGCAGGCATCAATGATGATAGTAGTGATACACAATATGCAAACTCGGTGAAGGGTCGATTCACCATCTCCAGGGACAACGGCAAGAACACGCTGTATCTGCAGATGAGCGGCCTGAGACCCGAGGACACGGCTGTGTATTACTGTGCTGGACACAGTGAGAAAGTGTTACTGTGAGCCCAGACACAAACCTCCCTGCAGGGGCGCTCACGACCAGCAGGGGGCGATGGAGATGCACTGAGTGAGACTTGGCTAGGGCCCTGGAAGCTGGAGCAGAGCAGGAAGCAGGTAACTGAAGGTTTCCTGAAGGCCTCTGGGGTTTCCTCTCTGTCTTCACATCACAAGAAGAGACCGGAGTTACACAAGCTGCAGATGACTTAGAGGGTAGTTAAGATACAAGCACAGTTTTCGTTATTTACACATATTATTTTCTTGGTCTCTTAGGGCAATACAACCCAAAATACATTTTGAGAAGTTAAGTTTCTTTTGAATACCACATCATCATTATCTAAAAATGATATTCTTAGTTTTCTCCTCATAAGGAACCATTGTCTATTGCAGGAGTAAATGTTTCAGGTTAGAAAACTAAATTATATCCATTCCACTGCACAGCGTCTGTGACCTTGCAGCTCCCTCCTCTCCTTGGCACCTCAGGAGACCTGGTCCCCAGGCTCATCCCATCACCATGAGAAGCCCTGGGCTGGGGAGAGGAGGCAGAGGGGCAGCAAGCTGGACTCAGGGCAGTGTCCAGGGACCTGGCTCAGCTCTTTCTGTTCCTGTTATGTGGCTGGAATTAGTTTATGTAGCTTTAAATTAGGAATTTTTAAAATAAACTTCATTATTCTTTTTCTTTAGTCTGTATCTGTCTCTGTGTCTCTAACACAAATGTACAGGTTTCAACCTATATATGAGTATAAGAAGAGATAATACTTAAGATAAAATGTTCCTGTTTCATAATATTCATTTTTCTTCACTGGTTCTCTGATTACTGGCTTTATACTTTTTTATTTTATGTCTGTTCATTCTGTATTCATTAGTCACATACCCTTTAATAAATTTTTATAAAATAGTCAAATATATGTTTATTAGTAATCTTATTCTTTGTATCATGGCAAGTGTGCACTGAATAGAACAAAATTATTTTAAATACATAATATGTACACATGCACACTGCTTGAAAACAGAGCTGAGGTGATGTCTTCACACATAGATATCCCACATTTCCTTCAGTCATGTCCATGGAAATCATGGTCACTGTCATCCTGGGAAACTAAATACTTCCCCCTCCTCACCCAGCTCTGCACCTCACCTGGGCCATCATCATCACTGCTGTACCCTGGTTTCAGGAATGAGAGTTTCCCGATGTGTCCCAGGTGCACCTGTGGTTTTCAGCCCTAGGTGAGAATGTATTCCATAACATGCCATCTCCTGAGATATAGTTGGATATGCTATAGAATGTCCTGAATTCCATTTTCCTGGAGATCTTTGAAATGTCTAAAATTTGTCTTTGGATCTGTAGGAGACAATTTGAGTGACTCCCCTTGAATGCAGAACAATTGCTGCAACACTGATTTTATTGAGGTTTATTTCCATATGCTGATATGTATAGATCTGACTATGGCATTTCCTTCTCTGTTCACTCGGCTCTAAGTATTACAAATAAGGCCAGCTGAGGTACTGATACGTAATCTCTAAGCCGCCAGATAGTCTAGTTTTCTTGCATACTACTCTCTGTAAAAGATATGAACACAGTGGGATTGAAGAGCAGGTCAGCTCCAGGAATGCCAATTGGGTAAGAGCCTGGAGATAGACACTAAGTCCCAGGGCACACAAATTTACATATCAGAAACTGAAGCGACCCCTCCAAATACAATTCCATTGCTAACTTAATTGAATTATGAAGACTGATCCTTCTGTGTGTCATTCTACCTGCATTTTTTTATATCGGTACTGAGGTCTACCTGCGTTTTCTAAAGGTGCTTTTCTCTCTACCTGGCTTACCAGTTCAATTTACATAGACCATCCATTCTCTCTGTCACTCATCCTCAAGCCATCCCCTTCTTTACAAGATAATAAATTATAGGACAGGCCAGGGATCAAGGCCTTTGTCTCCACATCCTCATGGTGATTAGAACCTCTTGGCTGCCCTTAACTTTGAATATATCTTGATGTATTTACTTTCTTCGATGGTTGCGTTGGAGGTGGTAGATTGCAATTAACTTGCTGGGATTCCAATAGTGTCTCAATGGGATGACAAATATAACTTTTTGTATTGTGAAGAGGACTGGAAAAGTGATTGCAATACTGGTCTATAATACTCAATATTTGGAGCTCAGTGTGACCAGAATGTACAGCCTTCACATCACAACTACTGACCATCACCAGGCGACAAACCACTGGACCTTGCACGATGAATTTCCTTAGAAACAGTTTCTAAAATGACTTTTTAGCTCTAATGCTCATGTTTTGCTTATACATGCTTTGATTAAACTTGGTTTTTGCTTAAAGGATTCCAAATCCTAAGATGTCATTCAGATAAACACAAATAACAAATATTTGAGATTCCTTTTACTGGGATCCACCAGCTCTTGTCCAGGGAAAAGGTTATATGATGCATATCAAGCCCTTAATTAATTATACCCAATGGGCCTTAAATGAAGCTGCAGCTGGTGTCTCTCTCCTAAATAAAAATGCTAAAATTAGTAAAACAGGCCATCCTCCAAACTCAGAAGCCATGAGACAGGAGGTACTTAACACAGGACGTACCAATGCAATTGTAAAACTTAACATGTACATTCCTAATCCTTTTGTTCATATCTCAGTAGCTGTTCAAGATATTAAATGACAAGTCAATGACACAATGGATTCTTTATTTTTATTTTTATTTTTTTATCAACACTGGGGATTGAACTCACAACCACATGCTTGCAAGGCAAGCACTTATGTTGATGAGCTAAATACCAAGCCCCTGACATGACAGATTCTATAATTCACTGGGCTTTCTCTTTATAGAATGTCATTACTAGCTCTTTTGATGAAAATCTTTGTTCACTGTACTCATAATTATCCTAAGGATTTGGCCCATACATACATAATTCTTTCTTTTCCTTGTCTACTCCAGACTTAACCTACACCTAACCAGGACAAAAATGCCTTGTATCTATGGAAATCATTAGACAGGATCTCTGCAGAGTATCCCTGACTGCTGGTCAGCAATATGACCACTTTCAGCCTGAAGAAATCAGATCAATCATTACTCCTTCATGGAAGTTTGGATTAATTTTTCACAGGGAGGATTTTTATAGGCAGCTGAGTTATACAGAAATATTATAGACAGACATACAGGGCTAGGACCTCAAAGGAGCCAGTGCAGAAACCGAGACACCTTGTACCTAAGGAGGAGACAGACACCTGCCACTGTGGGCAAGGCATCAAGACAAAAGATCAAACAATCCCAAGGACTGATATTCTACATAGGTCTCTATCACCCCAAGGAAGCCAGGAGTCATTAGCCCAACCCCCTACAGAAAGAATCGCTGCTCAGTTTGCATCCCTGCTTGCAATGTGACTTGCTTCCCCTCTTGTCCCCGATTTAATCAATTTTACCTGAGTAATTACACTCATAATCTTATTGATTGCCCATAGTTCTGTCCCACTTATGCCCACCTTGTGAGTTCCTGTTTTCCCTACATTAGACCTGCCTCACTTTGGGTTTTGCTCTATAAAAGTCCCTAGGAAAGACAGTCTTTGGCAACCTATTCAGGACCCTTTCTCTCAATAAATATATTCTGCTCTTATCTTCCATTGTTCCTAAAATTCATTTGTCATTTTAGAGAACATGAACTCATACTGGCCATCTATTAGGTTGGGAGTTTTAGTCTCCTATATCAAAATTATGTGGGTAAAAGTGTTAAAAGAGCATGGATTCTCATCTCTCAATGAATGGAGAGAGCACCGGGCTCAAACGGAAAGGGCTCTCCCAGTCCCTATTGTGGCTCATTAAAATAGCAGACTATCTGCATTGTGTGATCACAAATGAACATTTCCATGTGCTTAATCTGTTTCCAAAGTAGACAAATAGCACTCATGGCAGTAGTGATGAAATTGGACACATGTGCCTCTCTGCTGAAGTGGTCACATACAGAGTGACCCCTACATCCAGCATTTGTGCCTCATCACACTGGAGGTCAGAATGCCCAGTCCCCTTGCTCAGGATCTCCTAGTGAGGAGAGATGGAGCTGGGCTCTGTGCTCCATCATGACTCATGCAGGAATCCTCAGACCCAGTGTCCTGACTCATAGACAAACTGATAAGGGTGTCAGGTCATGGAAGAATTCTTGAGGAGATCTAATTAACAGCATCCTACCTTAGTTAATGTGTAGAGCACTGGTTGAATCTAACCCGCATGCTGATCCTAGGTAATCTGAGGAGTGTTTGCTGTGGAACTCTGTAGCAAGGAATCACAAAGGTCTTTGCTGCATCTTACTGGAAAGCCTTTCATTGCACCCATAGTAAATAAGAACTGCACCCCTCTGGTTGACTGAGAGTCCCCTGAAGACCAGTGCCATCCCTATCACAGCTGAACAGCTTTCACTTGAAGGCTCTGTGCTCTACTCTGAATTTCATGTGCAGTATTGTTCTCCAACTTGCAGGGAGTTAACAGCTCCAGGTGTCTTCATAGCAATGCATCTTGCTACAGAAAAAAATATGTCAATAAAAAACTAAGTTCTATTTCAAGACAGCTAGAAATTACACTACACAAATATAAACATCTACTGTGCAGCAGATAAAAAGTGTAAAGAACTTTGTGATTAAATAAATGTATCTTCACAGAAACCCATGAACATACATATGTATGAGTGCATTTCACATGCACAAAGAGAAATACAATCAGGTGAGTGCCAAAAAGTCTATAAAACTTAGTATAACATTTAGAGGATTTGTGCTCACTTCATTGAGATACTAACAATATATTGGTCTCAAATGTTTGGATTACACTATTGAATGAACAAGTAGAGAATGGAGAAGTCAAATTGATTTGAACAAGGACCCTGAAACAGATGTGAATAGATGCACATGGAATGTGAACTGATGCTGTGTGTTAGGCACATGTGCTGTGTGCACCTCACTGTCCTGTTATCTTTGGCACTTGTGTGCTGGTTTTCATATTCCTAGAGTTTTCTTTCATCTGAAAACACAACCAGCTCCCTGACCAGCCCTTCCACTACATATCTGATCCTGGAGTCGGAGGTTTGGGCCTTGAGCAATGGACTCCAGGAACATTGCTGGGTTCTTAGAGGGCTCAGTCAGCATCCTCCACTCAGAGGCAAGGACAAAAATTTGTTCATCCTCTATCTCCTTCTGATCTTCATGGACAAGACTGCATCACAGATGCAAATGTTTTTGAGCTACCAGATTAGCTCATGTTGCACATTGCCTTAATTTGTTGTGTATCTCAATATTTAAGATGCTCTCAGAAATTTGTAAAGATAATCTTCCAGAACCTAGAATAACGCTGGTTCTTTCTCTTTCTGGTGGTGGCTCCCATATGTGAGTGTAGGAAAACAGAAAGGATGATGTGGAGATTCTCCCTCTGATGATATGACTCGCCCTGTTCTCCCACTGTCCCATCTCAGCTACTGCTGCAAGAGACCAGGCCTGAGCCCATGCAACCCTCTAAATCCCTGTCTCTCAACCTCACCTTCTCCGGTTAGCAGAGCTCTAGGATGTTGCCCGTGTATTTGGTTCCTTCAGCTGCCAGGCCAGGAAACTGAGTGGATGTGGCAGGATATTAATAGTGGTGGCACTACTTGTCATTCATCCCTGAGAATTCAGCATCTCTAAAGCCAAGAACTAGTTCTTTGACTAACTGTCATTAATATTTGTCGAAAACTCAACCATATTGCACTGTGCAATGCATTTACTGAAGCGGTCCAAGTGTGAGCTCAGGCACAAAGCTATGTACAGGGTGGTGGGGACCAGCAGGAGGTGCTCAGGATCAAGAAGAGGAGGCTGCAGGAGATCAGGACTGAGTACTCAGGATGAATAAAGGGACCTGAGGATCTTCAGGGAATCAGGAGGCGATCCATAGCTGGTGCAAGAAGGAGGCTACAGACTGAGAGCTTCACAACGTTTAGTGTCTGAGTTTCCCCTCTGTCTTAGCTTCACACACACTGCAGAGAGCTTACAGTGAACCCTCTCCAGTTCACAAGTGAGGTCTCCAGGCTGCAGAAAATTGAAGTGATTCTGGTGTTGACAGAATATATTTACACCTGTATTTTATCATCTTCTTCACATGACTTCCTGTGGCAGGGCTGCAGCAACTTGCATATTCTAGTAAGAAAGACTGAGCATCTTAAGAACATAGTTGCTTGGAATACACAGTTCTCATGATCATCATGCAAAAGTAGTCCGCTATTTTTGTCACCATGAGAAGGAACTGTCACATACAGTAGTAAATATTTGGTTTAGGAAAGAATAGAATAAAAGTATTTATGGGAAAGGAGTCTTATCGAAAAGGACAGGACAATTAATAAGTAGATAAATTAAGCATCTTGAGAATGGCATGGTTTTGTGAATATTTATCTGTATAACTGTATCAAAATGTATACCACTTGTTCATTATTAAAATATACATCTAATGTGTATATATTTTTGCATAATATATATTTTTTGAATAATGTCTTACTTCCCCAGAGGTAAGAAAAGATGTCAGATACTTGAATATATTTTTGAAAAAGATTCTGCTTGTCTACTCATTTATAAATATAATAGAATGCACAGTAATATTGTCATATTATCTCTTTAGAAGAAGACATGTGACAATTGTCATGCAGCATGACCCCTGTCTTGGAATTGCTCAGCAAGCTGTTGAGTTCTGTGAGAAGATTGTAGGATTTCACATCTCATAGGACATTATGCTTCTCATTCTATGTATACATCTGCAATCTTGTGAAGTTACCAAATCCACTAATTACATATTGGTCAGAATAAAAGAAAAAGATGAGATTAAACATAGGAAAGAACCATGTGTTCTGTATATTAGGGATATTACAAAACAAATCTCAAAACACTTTCATGTGCCTTGAACCCTTCCTTCTCTGAGGCTTCCAGAATATAACTGGCCATATATACAGGAGGCCATGCAAATAGGGTCTCCCTGTGCTGATGAAAACCAGCCCATACCTGACCCCGAAGCTCTGCAGAGGAACCCAGCCCTGGATGCCCAGCTGTTCTCACTTGGTGATTGGCACTGAGCACAGACGGCTCACCATGGAGCTGGCGCTGAACTGGGTTTTGCTACTTGCAATTTTAAAAGGTAATTCATGAAAAATAATAAATACAGAATGAGTGAATGAAATGAGTAGTATAAACAACTGGACATATGTAACAGCGTCGTGAGCAAGATGTCCTTGTGTTTACAGGTGTCCTGTGTGAGGAGCAGCTGGTGGAGTCCGGGGGAGGCTTGGTACAACCTGGGGGCTCCCTGAGACTCTCCTGCGTGGCCTCAGGATTCACCTTCAATGATTAATACATGAGCTGAATCCGCCAGGCTCCAGGGAAGGGGCTGGAGTGGATCGCAGGCATCAGTAGCAGTAGTAGTTACATAGACTACGCAGACTCCGTAAAGGGCCGATTCACCATCTCCAGGGACAACGGCAAGAACATGCTGTATCTGCAGATGAGCAGCCTGAGAACCGAGGACACGGCCATGTATTACTACTGTGCTAGACACACAGTGAGACAATGTCGCTGTGAGCCCAGACACAAACGTCCCTGCAGGGGCCCTTAGTACCAGTAGGGGGCGATGGAGATCCACCGAGTGGAGGCCTGAGCTCCAGGAGCAGGTGCAGAGCAGGAAGCTGGGGACTGAGAGCTTCATGTTGGCCTCTGGGGTTTCCTCTGTGTGTTACCATCACAGAACCGGAAGGGACCCAAAATACACAGGCTTCAGATGTCTTATGAAGTATTGAAGATTCAAGTTCAGTTATATATGTATATATTTTTTCTTTTTTGTTGAATTCTATCATATGAATTTTCTTAAAAAGGCAATAACCACAAAGTAGCTTGTACATGTTGGGAAGTTATGTCTTTTGAATATCAAATTATCATTATGTAAAATGAAGTTGTTATTTTTCTCATCATGAAGAGCAATTGTCTATTGCCAGAGTAAATGTTTGAGGTTAGGATATTAAACCCTTATCATCCATTTTCATAGGGTGTGAGACCTTGCAGCTCTCTCCTCTCTTTGGCCACCTTAGGAGACCTGGTCCCCAGGCTCATTCCAGCACCATTAGGAGCCCTGAACTCAGGAGAGGAGGAAGAGGGACAGCTGGCCTGTATTCAGGGCAGTTTCTAGGACCATGTTGAGCTCTTTTTGCAAATATAATCTGGCTGGAATTTTATTTGCATAATTTAGATATTAGGAATTTATGAAATATAATTTACCATTCCTCTTTGGCTTCTTTCCCTCTGTCTCTTTTGTCTCTCTTTCTCTGAAATACACATGCATAAATTTCTATCTACGTCAGCATAATAAGAGACAATACGAAGATAAAATGATATTGTTTCATAATATTCATTTTACTTTCTAAACATTCTCAAAGCTATGGCTTTATCCTTTTTTATTTTATGTAAGTTCATTCTATATTCATTAGTCACATATCTTTTCCTAATTGTTGTAAGATAGATACACTTCTGTACTGCCTAAAATCATCCTTATTGTCATGATGTTCTGTGAAGCACGTGTCCACTGAACAGGAGGAAATTATTTGATACACCCGATCCCCGCACATATAGTCTTCCTGCAAGCAGAGCTGAGATGAACACTTCACACATGGATGTCACACATATCCATCATGTGGCTGTGGCCTCAAGGTCCCTGTCATCCTGGGAAGCTAAATCACCTCCACCTCCTCGACCAGCATTCACCTCACCTGGGCCATCACCATTACTGCCTCGCCTTGATTTCAGGAATGAGAGTTCCTGTTTCTAATGGGATTCCATGTGCACCTTTTGTTTCTAGCCCAGGTGAGAACACCTTTCAGAACATGGTTTAGTTGGTATGTAATATTTTTTTGTGAGATTCAGATCTTACACATGTTTATCCCTGAGTTCATTAGAGTAACATTAAAGGTTGTAATAAGCCAAAGTTTGGAATTATGACATTTAAAAATATGATGTTTTAAAACTAACTAGGCAACATTAGATGTGTTGCCAAATTTGTTCCCAGGGTTAGATTTAGCTCATTAGCATCGCGATAACATGGCACAGATAATACAATTTAAGCCATCAACCCAGTTGTCTCCCCTATCTTTGCATACTGCCATGTGACTGACTCATATGCACAGGCTTTTATCAAGAGAAATGAGCTGATTTTATTTGACTAAATGAACATGACAAGGCTCTTTCTGTCTTTAGGCTTATTAAAATATTTTAAAAAATGAAAAAGAAAGACAAAATGGCTCTTTTCATCTTCTGTTTCTAGAGAAGCACCTGAAACAGTCATTTGATGACAAGAAGGATGTCTTCTTCATTTTTTGTTTAATAATAAAAACATTTTCTGGTCCAGAAATTGAATTCACAACCTCATGCTTGCCAAGCGGGTGCCTGTGCAGCTGAACTAAGTCCCCAGCCCAAAATAATAAAATTTCACATTTCCAAATATCTATATATTATTTCTGTACTAGAACCCTCATTTAGTAAAAATATCTGCTATTAAACATTTCTTACTATACACTCCACTTTACCTACAGTTTCATTCCATGTCCTCAGCACAAGAGCGCACGTAAAAGAAGATGAAAGGTAGTTTTTGTCAGTACAGGGGATTTCTCCATGTAAGACTTATCCCTGGCACTCTTATTTCATGTATTTTCTCATCTCTGAGTCTCAGCTAGGCAAGTAGATTTTGAGTAGAAGAGCCCATTCTCAAAGGACTCTAGTTATCACATGTCAAAATGACTCTGCTGTGCTCATCTGACCCAAGTCCCAGTGAAGCTCAGGGAACCGGGTAACATTCTGGATGGAAGCTGGAGCCACAGTGAGGGGCAGGTAGTGTGATCCCAGCCACAACCCTCATCTCTGCAGGGATCAGGACCCACAGACCCTGCTCCTCACAGCCCAGGGGTGTGCCAAACTTTAGAGGGAGCTGAGGAGCACTCAGAGGGATCCTGTTTCCCAGGAGCCAGCCCTTCCAGGTCCCAGTACAGGAGCAGCTGCACAGAGACCCTGTGGAGACTTTAGCTGTTGAGACCCCAGATCCTCCTCTCTCTCTTCATCCTTCTGTGATCCACTTCCTTCTATGTAAATTGAGTAGTAATTGGGCCTTTATGTTGTTAATTGTGTCATGTTTTTATTTTAAAGAGCAAAAACAGAATAAAATCAATCAAAACAAAGCAGTGTTAGAGATACAAGACTTCAAAATATTATGAAATTGAAAAGAGTTACCACAATGCCTCTTGATGTCTGTAAAATAGCTGCAGGTACCTTTGAACATAGGAAAAATCAAACAGAACAGAATAGAATCAAAACAATAAAAACAAAATAATGAATACCATAAAAGATTTCAAAACAAGCCAATAGTAAATCTAAAATTGCTACCATAGGGGCTGGAGATTTAGCACAGCTGCATAAGCGCCTGCCTTGCAAGCAGGCAGTCGTGAGTTTGATCCCCGGTACCAATAAAAAGGAAAAAGAGAAAAAAAATTGCTACCATAATATTTCTTGCTATCTTTGAAATAGCTGCCCCCGTTATTAGATTTTAGAGAATCAAACAAAACAAAAGAGAATAAAATTCAACCCAACAAAGCAATGGAAATGATATAGGAGCTTGAAACAAGACCACAGGGAATCATCAATGGCTACAACCCTCAGAAGCAGATCCCCCCCTAGATGCCACATTGTGTACCGCTCTCCTCTGAACCTATGATCAGAGCACTGGCCCTAGCATGCCCAATGTTAGTGAAACCCTAGAGCACCACAGGCATCCAGATATATTTCACCTCTGTAGTTATTGTCACAGCCTGTATTTCTCCAGATAAGTTGGTTACTTACGGGGTTGATACCCCTTGCTTGCCAGCCCACTCACTGGAAGGGGCTGGGGTCTGGCCATTCACAGTCTGGTGCTGGTTCCCTCACATAGTGCTGGTTCCCAGACTGGGCTTGTTTTCTGGTGTGGCCATTGTTCTCTGCCCTCCTCTTTCATTACATCTTCTTCATACAAATTTAGCTGTATATCATTTTAAACTATAAATCTGTGAAAAATTGACAAGCTTATTGAGATAATTTAGGTATCAACCATTTCATCAATTAAATTTTCCAGTGCTCATGTTTTGTGAGTATGTGCCATTAGACCTGTAACCACCAATACGATGTCAATCTAAATCATTTTCCTAATTTTAAGGGATCCAAACATTTTTCGGTGGCCTTTTGTATTCATGACATTCCCACGCACTGACCCAGTCACAGTGATCACAAATCTATTACTAAATTATGGACTTGCCTGTTGTGGAAAATTTTCTTAAGCTTCAAGTAATAAAGAGTGCTTCTATATACATTCAAGGCTTAGCAACATAATTTTAGATGTTTGCATTTCATGCATATTGTATGTTTTGAATAAAAGTGACAGGGAACAAACATATCGATGGAGATGTGATAAAATTAGAGCCCTAAAAATGGTGATTGTGTTGTTCACTATCTCAGCAACTGTACAAATAATTTAGTACCCTTTAAATTCAGCAAATTAATTTTTCATGTGAGTTATGTCAGTGGATAATTAGTAGTGTTGAAAGTGCACATTTGCACAAAATTGTGTGAGGAGACATTCCTATAAAATTTCTTCACAATAACTAAAATAGAGAAACTGTCTAAAAGTCTACTAGAGAATTTCATCAAAGAAATTGTATCCACATATGGGATTCATTTCCTTCAAGAAATGAGAATACTGTTCTTGTTATTGTGTGAATATGCATTGAAATTTACTAGTGCATGAAAAAAATCACTTCTTGTGTGACTCTGGTGACAATATCATCTACATTTTTCATATCATTGCACACAGGATATAGAGCTATGGCTTTCAGGGACTATGGTGACATGAATTAGACAGTGAATTATTAGCAATAGTCATCAGTATTTTATGGTGAGAAACATGCAGTTTAAGTATGGTATGGTAGAATCACAAATGATTTAATACACAAAATCTCATTCAGTTCCATATTTCAACATTGATCTTACTGCATGAGGGTAAGATTCATGCAGAATTCATGAATATTAAAAAAGATAAACCAAAAGCTATGACACACAATACATTTCTGGAGAAAAGGAACAGTGCAAAAACATAAAGTTCAAGACATATTGTGAAATCTCAATAATGCATTGATGTGTACACCATGCAAAGGTGATAAATACAGTTCAGCAGTAAAGACATGGTCTGCACAAACAGCCCAACAGAGTTCATTTCTCACAATATAATGGTTTCAAATAGCAGCAAGATAAGGTACAATATTATCTCAAAGGAAAGGAAAACTCATCAATTTGAAAATTTCCCAGACTGACCAAATGACAAATGGCACTAAGACTTATTGGAGTGAACATTGAAGTCAACTGAAGGGAACACATGGAAAGGAGAGCAGCAGAGCCTGAGAGAAGCCAGATGCTGCTCGACAGAAAAATAGAAAACTGACACAAATGACACTGAGATCCTGTCACTCCCATCACAGGCTAAGGGTGCAGGGATGTGAGAGAAGGCAGGTCATTGATTACTGACATGTGACCACAGTCTCACTTCTTGAGAGT